TTTGTGTACCTTTCCAGGTGTTGTTTAACTGAAGTGTCCAGTGCTGGCTTGAGCTGATAGGATTTGTGGTCTTAACATTTGGAAAACTGGATGGTTTGAACATTCTGCATTTGACATATCTTAAGAACCATTACACTACTTCCACATTTAAATTAAGGAGAAAGACTCAAAAGAAATTTCTGTGTTTCCTGTTCTATTTTTCTGGTATTAGAATGAGGTATAAATGGATGGATGTCATGTATTTTAATAAATACTTGTGTTTACTACTGGAATTGCATTTGAGTAGGAATTTGTATTTAATTGTTGAGGAAACTAAAGAAGTAGAAGAAAACATATCAGTGTGAAAAAGTGGAGATGATTACACTTTTAGCTTTGGAATTGCAGTCACTTGAAAGTAATTATTTGGGCTTTATTTTAATTGCGTCTGTATATAATACTAGTATAGCAAAGCAATACGCACATTTTCCAATATGTTTAATTTTATGGCAGTGAGAAATTGGGGGTCATCTTTTTTCATTGCAGTATTTTCTTTTGATTTGACTATAGCATCTTTACCTTTTGAGACTAATTAGAATGGTTTTGCTTGTATGGCTTTTGCTTACAGTTATATTTGACACTGAAATAATTTCCCTTTGTTTTGGATACTTGTATTTCAGAAATAAACATTTAAACTGTTATCAAACTAGTGCTTGAAAAATGTTTGCTCTAGAGCTTTCATACATAAGCATCCAGTTGCAGTTCCTGGATGCAACTCAGAAGCTGTATCCATGCTTCCAAACACACCCTGCCCCCCCCCCCCCAGGTGTGAGGCTATAGCCTTCTGACTATTGTATGTATTCAAATATAAGTTTAGAAATTTTAGTTTAAAAATCCACCCCAAAACCTGGGTCGATGTATCCATGTATCAATTACTGTATTTTTAACTCCTATAAAGAAAAGGAATCATCCTCTTCTCTGAGGTCCCTTCTACACTGCCATATAATTCAGATTATCAAAGCAGATAATCCACGTTATTTGCTTTGAACTGGATTATATGAGTCTCTACTCCCATATGATCTGTTCAGAGAACATAATCTGGATTTTATATGACAGTATAGAATAGACCTTTGTCAAGTGGTGAACGTAAGAGCTTAGTTTGTCCCAAGAGAGACAAACATTTTTATTTGAGAATGTCTTATTAGGTTCAGAATATTGTTCAGGGTCAGTGATTTTGCTGAAGGTGAAGTTGTCCAGCTATATGTACAGTTAGTTGTGCTTGTGGTATGGAAGAGGACTGAAAGTATGGAATTGTTTTGGTGATTCCACATATTGCACTTTGGATGCAAGAACAACCAGCTTCTGTTCACCACATATTATGAAAAAACAGCTTCCTATATTTAGTATGCCTTGTACATATTTTTTTAATTTTTCCTTTTACCAAGGCCAGACTAAATTTTCATTTGGTTTGGCCATGTTATGTATAGCTTCTAGGCGTTCCACTTCTCCCTTGAATTGTGGAAAATTTATGGCTGATAGAATTCATGGGGTCGTGACAGGCAGCTTGAAAACTTCTGATGACATTCAGGAGCAGTAAGACAAATGTGTTGTTGAAGGCTTTCAGACCTCACAACCTCTGAGGATCCCTGCCATAGATGTGGGCGAAATGTCAAGAGAGAATGCTTCTGGAACATGGCCATACAGCCTGGAAAACTCACAGCAACCCAGTAAGACATATGCTTACTGCATCTGAGTGTATCTAAAATAAAATGAAACTGGTCACTCCCATTTTATCAAGTTTTAGGGAAGGATATTTTAATATCTAACCTAAAACTAGAGAATATACATTCTTTGCAATAGACAGAAAATGTATTGTAAATCAATGTGATATGTAGCACAATAGCACTATATAACTAAAAATCACCCACAAGGCAAAGGCTTCACAAATGCTAGAGCCATAGGCAACCAGAAAGTATTTTCTGGGTATTGGCTAGCCACTGATATTATACAAAAACCGAAACACTATTATTTATTATTATTATTTACATCATTTATATCCAGCCCATATTAGCCTGCAGGCGACTCAGGGCAGTCTACATATCGGCACAATTTGATGCCATCAATACATACATTCAAAAGCAAAGACAATTAAGTGCATTTAAACAAAAAAGTGCAATAACAATTTAAAAAGAGCTATATCTTCTCATTCCAATCCTCGTCCGTTTCATCGTCTTGACCGTTCCTGGGTCATTCTCCATCTCAAACTTTACTATCTATTCCAGGGTTCTGAATGCTTGCTCGAAGAGCCAGGTTTTCACTCTCTTCCGAAAAGTCAGGAGGGAGGGGGCTGATCTAATATCCCTAGGCAGGGAGTTCCGCAGCCGAGGGGCCACCACAGAGAAGGCCCTGTCCCTCGTCCCTGCCAAGCGTTCTTGCGAAGCAGACGGGATCGAGAGCAGAGCCTCCTCAGATGATCTTAACTTCCTGGAGGGTTCGTAGGAAGAGATGCATTCGGATAGGTAGGCATTCGGATGGAACTGAGGTTCCTCCAGTTCTATCATTTATTTCAGTATGTTAATGTATTTATTCTGTTATTTTGATCACTCCATGCCAGTAGAATATTTTATAAATGGATGCACAGTTTAATAAAGTGTTAAGTCCTAAACAATTTGTAACCTTGGTTACTGGACTTAATGCGCAATATGTTAGTGCTTATGTTTTACCTAAGCAGTCGTATTTGAAAGGTACTGCAAGTATTGACTGTGATGTGTAACTTTTCTGTGTTGGTGACAAGATGTGCAACCATATTAAAAGATTGTGGTGATGAGCAATGGGGCACTGTGTAAAATGTCCCAGTGGACTATACGTGCTCCCACTGCATAGCTGGGCAGTGTTCAGTATTTCCTGTACTTCAACAGTAGCTCTTATTGCACAATGGTGTACTACTAAACAGTGAATATTTTTCTGGCCTGACACACAGGGTATTTTCATAACTTTCAACTGACTTCTGTTTTAGATTATCAGTCCACCACGACTCTTTTGGGTACTGTTGTCCTCTCTCTACTTGCACTGTTACAGTTCAAGGGCAGCCTATTCCACATAACGGCCTATTGTGGTGCATCACAACTATTGCTTCCTGGCTGCATTATTTGCTCTGCTTGTGCTGTGGTCCCAAAAGGCATAGCTATAATAGCATTCTGTCTCTGGGAATAGGATGGTTGCACAATGTGGCAGTTCTGAACTGCACAATTGTAAATTAGTTTCTGGCACCGTAAACTCCCAACAGAATGCTAGCCAGCTAACCTGTAATCCATGTTGTAAAGAGGAGAAATCAGAATTGATTTTTTCCAGCCCATTCCTTTTGCCATAACAGAAATTAATGAAAACGTTAGTATTGCCACGTTCTTTCACAAGTTGAAATTCCAATCAGTTTATATCCTGCCTTTCTTTCAAAATTCAATTCCAGGCAGTTTAAAATTAAATAATATGAATATCTTTGAAACCTTATGTGCATTAATTCAATCCTGTATTCAGAAGATGCTCTAAATAAATTGCATTTTTATGCATCTACTATTGATGAAGTGTTTCAGACTATTGATGAAGTGTTTCAAAATTGCTTTTCTCAAACTTTTTACAAAGCTTTGTTTTAAAGTTAAAATTCCTTCCACTTCTGAAGTTTGTTAGTGGGGCTCTGAATAGGCATGATTAGGGGCCCTAGTCTGTTCTACTTTGTGATATAACTGTTTCACATTATGACTTAGGGCAATGTTGACTATTACCTGGTGTTTTTTTTTCTGGATGCACTTGGATAGCATCTAAAAAGCAATGTCAGATAGTGTCATAACTAAATATATAACTCTTGATGAAGGAGATAAATTTAAGTTTCGGCTTTGAACTTGACCCAAATACTTGAAGGGGGTGTCAATCGAAGGTTTTTCATACTGTTCGAAACAATCTGTTAATTGTATAGGCCAGCTGTGTCATGGTCTCACCAAATCTTGGTTGCCATCACTGATTAATTTGGCTGTTGGGAGTAATAAAGTATTACTACTCAGAATTTAAATTTCTTGTTGTTATCCCTAGTACTAAAATTAGACAATTATTTTCATGTTGCCAAATGCTTTCTCTGCTTTTAAACATGAATTTACATTCAGATGTAGTCATACTTTGACAAGGCTCATTGGAATCAGGGGAGCATGATCACCACTAGTTGATTTTATTGGGTTTGCTTCTCAGTGTGGCTAAATCTGGATCTGATCTAGAAAGACTTTTTTGTGTACTTTAAAATTATTTATGGTGATCCTAAGGCAACCTTGTCATTACTTTGTTCAGAGGTGGTTTCCGTTTGTTTCCTCTGAGACAGAGAAGGTGTGATTTGCCCAAGATCATCCACTGGATTTCAATGGCAGAGCAGGGAATTGAACTCTCATCTCCCAGTATCTTCGTCCGATACTCAAAAAACCTATACCACATTGGTTCTCCCAGAAAAGCTATGCTAATGCTATTAGGAAAAATTGAGTCTGTATTGGCTCTCTTAAACTAGAATTCTTAAACTAGAATGATAGTTTTGTGGCTATCTTAAGACTGTTTAGAGCAAAACCAGCATGGAAACTTGGTTAGATTGTAATTTCCATGGAGCATAATAATGCAAATATAGAAAACAAACAATAGCAAAATTGGGATTTTTATATTTATTGCATGTTTCTTGCACCCACTCTCACGGTAGTACAATGTATACATCCTTATTTCCTTACTAGCTTTTGACAATATGATCCTGATATCTGAAATATATGTCAGAAGTCTCTGTTATGAATGACCAAGTGATTCTCTTTGCTACTTGAATGGCTGGGGATAGAAAAATGCCAGAGATTTGAATTTTTGGAAGTTGTGGGATCTGTTACTTGTCTCCTATTTAGTTCTCAGATATAACATCTGTTTGATCTCAGTGGAACGAAATTCTGCAAAACTGAGCCCTTAGTACCTCAGCATAATTTACTAGGGTTTTTCTCTTTCTGGATTTACAGAGATATGAAAAATGCTGTAATTGGAAACAACAAACAAAAAGCCAACTTGATTGTTTTGGGAGCGGTTCCAAGGTATGTCCTCTGCTACTCTGATTTTCACTGATTTCACAGCAGATCTCAAGTTCACCTATTAAGATTCTGGCACTTTAATTTGTCTGACTGTTGATGACTGTCCTGTATTCCCAGTTACTGAGGTTAGTACTGTATATTCAGTTCATGTTATGAAGCAATGGTGTGTAGATGTCTCCTGAAAGCTCTGATTTGTACTGCTTTCAATGTTCTTAAAACTCTTCCCACAGCATAGTAAGTTAGCAAAGCCTGGAAGAAAAATGCTTAAAACAGCTTTCAGCCCTCTGTTTGCTTGTGGATTGCATGCAATAATTTCGGGGCTGTAGGAAAAAGAGTAAAGTCAAACAAAAAAAACCAGTTATTTTCTCTTTTTCTTTTGGGGTGACATCTTCTTTAAGTGATATCAAGGCTTTTATAACACTGAACTCTGGGGCTTGCGAATTGCTAGCGCTATTTTGTATGCTTTTTGCAGTTTGTGAGAGTTAAATGTCCTTGTGCTGCATATTATTATAATTATTTACCTTAGATCATTGTTTAGTAGCAGCAGATCAAAATAATTGTGTTTCATTCCGTCCTAGTTTGGACAATTGTAGATATACACCTGGCTCCTCACATTCATGGAGATTAGGTTTTAAGCACACTCTTACCATGCATGTTACAGACTTCTTTCTCATCAGCAACCCCAGCCCTTCACTCCCTTTCCTACCTTCCCACAATGAAACCTCAGACAGATTTTAAATCCCTTTCCAACTGATCTATCTCCTTCCTCCATCTCTTCCACCTGTCTTTCCATGTCTTGCCAAGAGCACCAGCTCTCACTCCTTTTGCCGCTTTCTGACCATGAAGACTCAGGCAGTGTAAATGTCTTTCCTGCCATATTTACCTCCTTGACTCATTCCTTCCATTACCAGATTGGAAATCCCTTTCCTACAGATCCGCTGCTTGCTTCACTTTCTGCTGCCAGATTTTAATCCCCTTTTCCATTGGTCCATTTCCTTGCCTCCTTCCTGCTGCTGCCCCTGCCTGCCCTTCTATGTTTTGCAAACAGCACCATGAATCCCTCACGCCAGTCACCACCTTCCCACTATGAAGACTCAGATTTTAAACCCCTTTCTTGTTGATCAGAAAAAGAAGTGAGTCAAGGAGGTGGAGTGACAGGAAAGTGGTTTAAAATCTAGCAGTAGAGGGGCAGAGTGAAAAAGTGAATCAGCAGGAAAGGGGTTTAATATCTGATTGACTCTTCATGGTGGGAAAGTGGGAAATGAAATGAAGGAATGCACAATAGGACAAGTGGAGAAACAACAGAAGGAATGTGTTGAAGAAATTGAGCTGGTTAAGCAGGAGCTACATATTTTCAAATACAGACACTCCCTGAGTTACAAGCGTCTGACTTACAAACAACTCATAGTTAAGAACTGGGGTGATACAACAGGATGTGAGAAAAACCTGCCCCTAGGAAGGGAAATTCTCTCCTGAAAGAGTTGTCATGGGAGGAAGGTGTCTCCATTGAAGCTTTCTCACCAGTCCTTGTTTCCACACATGCCAGTTCTTCCAAAATCCAATTATCACAGGGACAGAAAGTGAGGATAAGTCTTTTACACTTTGGCACAGACAGCAAAACAAACACCACAGTGAATTCTTCCCTATGCTATCCAAAGTGTGTATGTGTGTGTATGTATATGGCTGGAGTTACACTTAAAAATGTACCTGTTCTGACTTACATAAAAATTCAGCTTAAGAACAAACTTACAGAACCTATCTTGTTAATAACTTGGGGATTGCCTGTATTGAAATTGATGTAAGAAGAATCATGAATGTGGGTGGCTAACTGTAATGGACAACTAGTAGAGCTTTCCCCACATAATTATTTATTTGTTTGTTTGTTTCCTCTATTTGTACCCTGCCCTTCTCACCCCCGAGGGGGGACTCAGGGCGGCCTCACAGTAAGCACCATTCGGTGCCATCACAGTCATAAAAACATTAAACAAATTAATTAAAAACAGGACATTAAATAAACAGTTGTTAAAAACACACCAATTAAAATCCAAGTCCGGGTCAATTTATTAATTGATCCCTGTACAACTCAGAAAATACAATGTCTTATAACATGTTGTTTTTGGATGGGCTAGAGGAGCTACCATGACTTTAGAAACCATTCCTCAAACGTACAAAAAAGAAATGTCAAATTTAGAGGTATGTTTTGAGTTGTTTCGTGTTCTGCTGACAGAAGTGGTTTAATCAGAAGTATACTGTTGAAACAGGGCGTGTTTAGCTGTGTCATCTTGCACTTGCTTGACTATTTTAAATGTACAAGAAAAAATGGATAGATATTAGTATTCTTTGTCGTGTCGTCTGTGAAATGAGCACTGATGGGTCTTCCTGTGCGCCTGCGCAGAAATTCGGAATATACTATAGCTTTAATTGAGTTTTTTTAACCTATAAGAAGCCCCCCCCCCCCGCACGTATAAAGGACCCACAGAGTGGTTTCACTTTAGTTCCTTTTCCGCGCGACAGCAAGTACTTCGGTCTATGCTATTCTATCCCTGCTTACTTCTCTGGTTATTGGACTCTTTTTCTGGCTTCTGACTACGCTGACTTCTCCTTCCCTGACCCTGGACTGTCCTGGATTCTTCTCAGGCTAGATGGCTACTTTATTTTTTAAAAACTGTTCGGCTTGTGGGACTACCCTCCCTGATGCCGATAGGCACTCGAAGTGCCTCTTATGCCTGGGCGAGTCTCACAGCCCCCAGACCTGTGAGATCTGCAAAAGCTTTACAACTAGAGCTCGTAAAAGCAGAGATGCCCGTCTAAAAGCTCTACTATATGAAAGAGCTCTGGCCCCGGAAGCCCCTTCCACTTCCGCGCGCCACGTGGCTGAGTCCCAATCCCCTGATATACAAACAGCTCAGCCTCCCTCTCCTGCTGGAGATAGGCTTGACTCCAATTTACCCTCTGCTTCCCTTGCGGAGCCTTTGAGGAAAAAATCTAAGCCTTCCAAACAGGCTTCAAAATCAGGCAAATCAAAAGAAAAAAATACCAAACAGAAAAAGGGACGGCAACTCACTGGCACACAGCCCTTGAGCCCTCCCCCTCTGGATCCGATGCCTCAGCCACTCTCCTCTCCCCACCATGTGCAAGAGTCGCTGGCGTCCTTCCTCCAGATTGAAAACCCCTCCCCAACTCCCCCCCCCCCTTGAACTCCTTTCCACTCACCTTCAGGGACAAGCCTCGCCGGATCCGGCTCTCTCGCCGCCTCCGCTTCCTCCCTCCCAGTCCTCCGCCCCTCCCAACTTGATTAGCCCTGCTCCTTCGGTACCTATGGTTTCCACTCCCCAAGAACTTCCCCCCCGGAGAGAGCATTCCTCGCGGAACCGCCGTTCCGCCTCTTCTGAGCACTCCCAAAGCCCTTCGCCACCTCCTCCTAAGCGCGCGCGCGCGCACCCTCCCCAACTCATCCCTTATCCTTATCCAGATTATCCCTACCACATCTACCCTCCTCCTCCTCCATACCCAGCCTATCCCTTTTACTATCCTCCTCCAGATCACTATGGAGAACAAGGGCCTGCTGATCCTCATCTACATAGGCCCTCACACCCTCAGCCCTCACGTGTGCCCCCCTCGGCCACCATTTCTCGCCCTCCCCCACACCCTCAACCAATAGAGGAGGATCCTCCTCCAGAGGATTCCCCTCCCCCTCAACCTGACTCTGATACTATTGAACTTGGTTCTCAAGACGATACCCCTGCCTTCCCTGATCCTCAGCCTGACTCTGATATCACTCCTCAACAACTTCAAGATTTCAAAAATTTCTCCGCCTTGCTAATTAGGCTTTCTAGGGCCCTTAATTTGTCCATTCCTGAACCTTCTGATACAGTTCAGGATCCTTGCTTCACCACTTCTGAACAACAGCCCCCTATATCGACCTCCCTACCTACCCTACCTTACCTTCTAAAAATCCTGAAGACTACTGGGATTGTACCAGCTCTTGTGCCAGCTACACCCAAAAGAGCAGAAAATCTTTACCGTATTGACCTTACTTCTGCATCATGGCTCTCTAAGATGCCTAAAGCAAATTCTATAGTGACAGATGCTCAACCAAAACCTATATCACTCCTCAACAACTTCAAGCTAACCAATCCTCCCCTTCGGTTAAAGAAGGGAGGAAACTGGACACTATGGCCAAAAAATTTTACTCCTCAGCATGCTTGTTTGCACGCATGGCTCACTATGGAGTCTATATGAGTGTCTATCAGACTCATCTCTGGAATAAACTGACTCCTTACTTAGATCTCCTTCCTACGACGGATCAGCCCTTAATTAAGGCCTTCCACCAGGAAGCACTACTACTGTCTAAATTACAAAAAGACCTTGCAAAAAATACTTCTGACACTTCTGCTAAACTCATTGCTGGCTCAGTGGCCTTGCATCGCCATGCCTGGTTACGTGCTGCTATCCTTTCTCCATCACAGCGCACACTAATTGAAAACCTCCCAATGGATGAGGCAGGCCTCTTCAATCCAGATACAGATTCCCAACTAAAACACTCTCATGAGATGAAACAGACAGTAAACAAATATGGCCAACAATCATATCCCTACCAACAAAAACACAGATGGGGTCCTTACTACCAACGACCCCAGTTCTATCACAGACCCTACTACTCCTCCTTCTATAGGGGAAGAAGACCGTACTCATCGACTCTACCTACAAGAAGACCTCCTCTACTTGCCAGGGGTCAGTACCATGGTACCAGGCCACCTAACAATAACAAACGCCGTTTTTAGCAAACAATGTGATTCTAAACCTCCCCCAACCCCTAACCCCACCACACCCTCTCCCTCCTACCTTGACAGACTTCAACCGTACCTCCCCGCGTGGCGGGCCATAACCTCTGACACCTGGGTGCTAGATATTGTTAATAGAGGCTATGCTATTGAATTTCACTCCTACCCCCCGACGGGCAAGATCATACTTACTGAATCTTCCCCTGTCATCTGGGAAGA